CATACAGGGTCCAAGCATGCCATAGGCTAGAGACCTTTTTCAAAGCTTCTCCTTATATACAGGAAGCAGACCACATACCCAAAGGCAACTACTCAGCTGCTCATAGTAGATTCCACCATGGAGTTGATTACCAGTCTCATCATGGGGAATACTACATCCAGCTGCCCAGCCACTCAACCATGCCCATCCAAGATGACACAAAAACATAACCACCACACATAGATAGAAGGATATACTTCTGGGTTCTCAATTCTGTTCCACAGGTCTACGTGTCTGTCATTGTACTAGTATGAGGCTGTTCTAACTACCATGGCTGTGTAGTAGGTTCTGAGATCGGAGAGTGTGAGGCCTCCTACTTTGTCCTTCTTTAGCCCTGCTTTTCTTATCCAGGGTTTCTCCTTTCCATAAAAGTTGGTAATTAATTTTTCCATTTCTTTAAAGAAAGATCATGGAATCTGGATCAGGATTGCATTTTATCCGTAGATTGCTTTGGGTAGCTTTGATATTTTCATGATGTTAATAAGTCTTCCTATCCAAGAGCATGGTATATTGTCGTTGTTGCTATGTGCCATCGAGTCAGCTCCGACTCATAGCGACCCTATGCACAACAGAACGAAACACTGGCCAGTCCTTTGCCAGCCTCACAATCCTTGCTGTACCTGAGCCCATCATTGCAGCCACTGTGTCAATCCATCTTTTTTTGTTGACCCCCAGTTTTACCAACCATGATATCCTTCTCCAGGAAGTGGTCCCTTCTGGCAATGTGACCAAAGTAGGTGAGACAAAGTCTGGCCATTCTCACTTCTAAGGAGCAGTCTGGCTGCACTTCTTCCACAACAGATCTATTTGTTCTTTTGGCAGTTCATGGTAATTTCAGTATTCTTTGCCAACACCACAACTCAAAAGCATCAACTGTTTGAGGCTGGAGGCTATGCCACTCATATTTCAGATTCTAGCAGGGTCACCCATGGTGGACAGGTTTCAGTGGAGTATCTAGAGTAAGACAGACTCAGAAGAAGGAAGGGGCCATCCACTTCTCAAATAATTGGCCAATGAGGAAGTTCCAGTAAGATGAAGGAATAGGCAGAAAGATTGCACAGACCCTCTTCAACAAACAAAAGGAGAATCATTTAACACAGATACAAAACATGATTCTGGACCCCTGAGCTTTGAAGGGAAGGATATAAAGTGGACTAAACTCCAACTACTAGAAGAATTTGCATGAAAACACCAAAAAAGGAGACATACAGAGCTGCAGTCTGGCAGCAATCCTGATGGCACAGACAGCTTGGATATTGCTGAGTGGTATTAGAACCTAAGAATTAACCTAAAAATCAGCCCTGCTAGCAAAGGACTGCACAGAGGACTGCTCTGGTGGCTGGTGAATAAAAGGGGAAACAGTGAGGAGGAAAGTGGGCTGAGCTGTGGATTTTTGCCTGTCTGGAGGATGCAGCCATTTTGAATGTTTACAAGTGGTTTGACTATTTTGGATGTTTAAAGTGACAGTGTTTTCCCAGATTCCAGGGACTTTAGAACAGGTTCAACTTACCAAGAACCACAGGGACATTCTGGACGCCAACAACTGTAAAGGTATGGCATTCCCCTTGTTACTCTTATACCCCACACCCTCTTGGTGAATGGAGGTATGGCCATCCCTCACTCCTACCCACCTTCTAGGCTGGCAAGAATCCCATCCCAGTCTGTGTGCTCGCCCTACCCGGATTTTTTCTTCTTCTTTTTATAGTTTGTTTATTTTTGCCTATTTTAAAACTATTATTATTATTACTTATGTCTTTTTTATTATTATTCTTTATTCTTCCCTTCCCAGGTTCTAGCTTTCAGCTTTTTCTCTTTTCCCTGTTCCTGCTTCCAATTTTTTTTTTCTTTCTCATGGTTAACCCTGTTCCTTGTTTTTCTTTTTGCGTCTTTCCCATTTTTTTTCTTCATTATTCTCCTACTCTGACTTTTTTCTCTTATTGCTCTATACCCAGATATTGTGATTTTTTTTTCTTCTTTTTTCATTTTTTGGTTATTATTCCTGTATGATTACACAATGTGTTTTTTGTCCATTTGCTTTTACTTTTTTATGGTTATTCAATTGTTATTTTTGTCTAACTGAGTAGGAGGCAGCAACAGTCCCCATATGACACAACTACACCCACACCTCCTGCAGCTTCACTTACTGAGTGAGAGCCACCACTTTCTTCTCCACCAACAGGCCAATGATAGACAACCACCAAGAAGATCCTGACTCACCTTAGCTGCTCTTCACAAACAGTTAACAGAGATCTAAATACAACAATGTCACAATGTCTCATTGACAACAGACCATCACAGTCCACACAAAGAAGCAAGATAAAGTGGTAGAAACAAGGGAGCAGGATACAGACCCAGAACATACCCCTGAGAAAGAAGCA